AAATAAAATGAAGAGATCTTTTAGAAGGAAATCAAAAATTGGCTCAAACCAAGTGGCAATAGGGAGAAATTAAAAGGGGTTTTAAAGGAAACTATTTTGAAAAAACAGGATGGATGGATAGTAGATGTAGAAATGCTTTGTTGTATTTAATTGCTATCAAGTCAAACTTTGATTATTTGAACCTTTGAAGGAGACACCTCCAAGGCACTCTACTACCAACAGCCTTGCTCGGGTCTTAGCAACTCAAGGATGTGGTTTCCTTGACACGTGTATCCACCTGTGTGGCTTCCGATTTTCCTTCTGCCTTCTACATTGACAAATATTAGTGTCACTTTTACATAGTCATGTCTCTCTTTCTGAGACATGACTATGTAAAAGTGATACTAATACGAATCATTTTTTGGTCAACTTTAGATTCAGTTTGGTTATTTGGGTGAGGATTCAGAAAATTGCATTGGATAGACCACATCAGCTCTAGTTTCTGATACAGAATATATGCCATCCAGTAGTCAACATCTATCTGCCCACAGAAAACCATATTTAATAAGCCTCAGCACTATAAGAGAGTTTCATAAGACTGCACTGGTGTAGTAAAGGTGAGGCCACAGACCCTATTTTAGTTCTTGCAGACCACTGTTGGTCCACGGACCACCGCCCTAAAGCTTCAGACTTGACAAACATACAGTGGATGTTCTTTAGCTATTTCACAAATTGTTCCGTAAACCACTGGAGAGCTAGAAAACATGTTTCCTCAATTTATTTTACCGAACTGTTAGAATTTAAGGAAATGGGAGAACATTGCTTTGGGTTGTTTTTTTTTTTAAAGATACCATATATGCAAAGTCTTATAATGAGACATGGGTTGAAGCTTGCTTTGGAATGACCCAGGTTATCTGGAGGACCGTATTTTCCCATATGAGCCAGCCATGCTTTGGGAATCTGTGCATAAGGGCTTTTCTCTTTCCCACCAACCTTATGTACACCCAATGAGAGAATGCTCTCATTGGTTGCATCCAAGTTCCTGGAACTCCCTTGGCATCCGGCTTGCTGTCTTTCCACATTAAGGTTAGGACTTGTTTTATTTTGTTTGTTGTGTTTGTGGTTTAATTGGTTTTAATTTTATGAGTAGTTTAATTGTTGTTGTTGTGTGTGTGTTTGAAAGGGCTTCTTTAGCACGGTGAAGTGATTTGAGCTTAGTACTGGGTTTCCATGAGACCAGGGTTCAAATTCCTACTCAGCCATGAAAACCATTGAATGACCTTGGAAAGTCAGAATCTCAGAGCAAGGCAATGGCAAACCCTTTTTTGCCAACAAAGCCTTGTCTTCATGGTTGCCATCAATCAGAGACAACTGGAAGGCACAGAAAAATAACATTTTAAAAGCTATGTTTCTTTTAACTATTATAAGGTGGGATATAAACATAACAATATAGTAGAATCATTCAGATATATCTATATTATGAATAGGGGTTTTTTATTTATGTAAAAAATAAAAATAAAATCATGAAATAATTGTGTAACACAAATATCAAGGATAATTAAGAAGTACTTGTTTGATACCAGATATTTAAAATAAATTTGCTGGATTGTTTCTTACTTTGATAGCTCATTTCATTTTACTAAAAGATTCTCCCTACTTGTCCAAACTGTGCATAATACTAATCATTATTTCAACATTATAAAAGATCTTTACTGTGGGAAGAATTAAAATGGATGAATCCTTGAACAATTTCTAAAATATTTTTCTTTCCACAGAAAGCAAAAAGACTGTGTACAGTTCTTAATTGCCTTTTCGAGGCTGAGTTCCCTCATTACCTGTGATTTAAGCTAAAAATGAAGTAATTATAGATAACAGTGTTTATCTGGTTGATCTTGGCACCTGCAGTCCTAATGCTGAAGCGCTTCCTGTTTCTGAGGCCAGGCTTTAACGTCTGTGGCTGGCATTACTAATCTGAGCTTCTTATATTTCTGCTGAATTTCCTATAAAAGTTTCAAATGCCATGCTGTGCAGAAAGCATTTTTTTTCAGAGAGTGGATTTGGTGAAAAGCAGGTTTGTGTTGGATATAATTTTTCTTTTCTCAAACAGCAATGATGGTGAGATTTGTATATCTTGCTTTTTTCCTTTCTTTACTATAACAAATAAGAATAGTTATTGCGAGGCATATTATTTTGTGTTTATATTTGGCCCAAAGAGTGTTATTCAGCAAAACCTCATGTATTTCATGAACAGTAGCTGTATTTGAATTAGTTAGTGTGTTGTTATAGGGACATTCGATTAGGATTCAAAAAATCTAGGGTTTGAAACTCCATACAGTCTTGGAAACCCATTGAATAACCTTGGGCAAGTCAGGACCTCAGAGCTTTTGTGCAAAGGTGATGGCAAACCTTGGAATACATTTTGTCAAGAAAACCCATTGATAGTGTCACCATAAGTTGGAGCTATCTTGAAGGCACTTAACAACAACATTATCATTGTCAATCTCACCATCATTTTCATTATATTTATGTCCCACCTTTTCTCCAGTTTCAGTCTGAAGGAGTCTTACAACAGGCATAGTTGAAAATTTACAATATACAAAATTATCTATGGGTGTTACTACTCACCAGTTTTTTTTGCTAAACTATCAATATAGATTGGCAACATTTGAGTTCTTTAAGAACTTTTTAATATGTGCCATCAGGACTAGTTACTTCTTAAGCCATTTTTAAAACAGTGGTAACTTTCTTGTTACCATTGTTAAACTTAATTCTGCAACTATTTCCCCTAAATCGGTGTTTTAGGTGTTGATATATACCCAACATGTTCTAGACAGAAGACTGATACAACAGATTTATTTATCTATTCTCAGAAAGACCATAGTATTTAAGCACTTATTGAACAGATCAGACCACAGTAATTGTAAGTATAGAATAAGCAATTCAGTTAAAACAATTATCAAACAAAACATTTAATATTATATCAGTGCAAAATGCATACCAGCTTAATAAAACTCTAAAATAGATATAAATTATAAATATAGTTCAAAATTTTACTATTTCTTTGGATTTATAAATTAATTGTTCAACAAAAAATAATATAAGGATCTAACAAGTAATGCAAGTTTTAAGATAGAATCATAGAGTTGGAAAGAGACCACATGGGCTATCTAGTCCAACCCCCTGCCATTCAAGAAAAGATGTTGGCTTTTTAGTGGCTAGAAACAGAAAACACAATTTCGGTAGGATGTACTTGTTTACTAAAATTAGCTTTGGACAACTAGAGTGAGATGACCTCATTTGATCATATTGTTCCTAAGTGGTTGTCCTTTACAAAACAACAGTGGTTTTATAATTAAACAATCAGGTGGAATAATAGACAATCTAGATCATTCCTCCTCTGTTTTTTTCATTTTTATATTATGGGCTCGGGACTTACGAGATATTTGGTCTTGCATTCAAGGAATATTAATCTTGCTTTTGGGTTGTAGAAAATGCTTCAATGAAATGGAAACATATTCACTATATGTAGAATTTCAGTTTTGGAACTTGCTTTCAAAATTATACTATACACTAGTCCTGAAAAGATGGACTTTACATCTTAGAAAACATGGATTTACTCATGTAATAAAATATAGGTAAAACATTAAAATTGCATAAATGCTTATCAGTATTTCAACTGCACCAGTGAAATGTGACATATTGCATGTGTGATGTTGCTTACCTCCACCCATTCTCAGAATTAGTCTAATTATCAGAGATATTGAGGCAAGCAGCAGTGATTTAGGGGACAGCAGTAGGTATCACCGACTCTTCCCTTCTGAGCTCCCAGCTGTTCCCATCTTTTGGAGGACAGAGAAGTGTGTGTCACCAGCCTGTTTTGCATCAGGTGTAATGGAGTAGCCTATCCTGTTGCCAATGCAGCTGCCAGACCAACAGTCTTCTATGTATTGGAATAGAGTAGGCCACTATCTTGTCCTCTGCAAAAATGTATTCAGTTGGCCTTGGTCCTACCGTGCCCAAAAACCCAGTATTATTCCATTTTACTTATGTAAATACTTAAGATATTTTTAATTTAGTTTGGTTTAGTTTTCCTCAAATTATATTTGACATTTCATTGACTCAAGAAAGTCTTTGGACTATTTCACTTGAGATCCTCAGGTGGGAGGTAGCATTTCTGAGATTCAGTTCAGTGGAAAATGGAGGAGATATTCTTTAATTCTTGTATTCAAATTCACTAAATGGTTTGGGACAATTAATTTCCAATTGTTTCCCAGTAGAGTAGATTTACTTGTACATTAATGAAGCACAGGTGTTAGGCCCCTGGTGTCTTTGTGCCTAGGAGGCATATTTAGGTTGTTTATCTAGTCAGCCGTAGGTACTGCCAGGTACTCAAGCTTGCCTTTAACAGTTTATACAGTGAGGGTTTCTTATCTTTTAAAAAATTGCTAGCACCTGTTAAAATTTTAAAACTGATCATGTAGAAAGAAGAGAAGGCGATAGTAAACAGCACTAAAAGTTAACGGAAGTCATCTTCTCTTACGCTTAACTGCCCAGCTTGATGTTATGAAGAAAAGGAGCTTAATTTAGGCAAATGTGTCATGAGAAGAGGTAATAGACAACACTCCTTTTCTTCCCATGTTTTGGAATTAGGTATCCTTTCAAATAGGTTCTGTTTTATCTAAGGGTGAAACCAAAATATGGCTATATTAATATTAATTTTCTTTGTTTATTCACTGAGCTTCAGAACCAACATTTTAGAGGAAAGAGAATAGCCTCCACAGACATTATGAATTTGTGTAGCTGGCATAATTACAGTGATCTACATATTCATTAAATCCAGGGAAGAAATGTGTCCAAAAAGACAACCATGCGTTTAGAAATAGCACACTGCTAAATATATACATTTGAAACTTCCTTTCCTTTTGTTTACCCAAAATTACTTCATGTTATATTGCTTCTCAGCCAGCTAAGTCCTTAATAATAATTTTAAAAGTTTTCTTGCTCTCATTCATTCTGTGCAGTAAAGAATGGGAAGAATTATTTGTAAACAACAATTACTTGGCAACAATACGACTGAAGGGGATTAATGGGCAGCTGAGAAGCAGCAGGTTCCGTAGTGTTTGTTGGAAGGTAAGAAGAAAATATTTATTTACAGCTTGCATTTGTAATATATCAACCCATTACCTGATGCACTTGAATATTGCTTATGTAAAGAGTCATTGAGTTTTGCAGGAGACATCACTTTTTGTCTGTTTTTCCTGATCAAATTGAAGAAGTTATGTCAAATGCTTTTGACTTGGAAGTATTACATAATGAAATATTCAAATATTAGTAGTTTTTCATTGAAAGTATTGTTAAATTGTGTAACTCTTTAAAGTCGCCCTTTTAAAATAGATCTTTGTATCCTTTTGCATCTGTGGATGGAAAAAATGTGAAAGAGCAAATCCAAAATTATATGCTGGTTGGGTTTAAGAAGCTAGGAAAGCAAGTAGAAGGTATAGATCAAGTGCAACAATAAAAAGACTAGATACAGGATCTACCTTGTATTAGCAGAAGGGCTCCACTTATCAAAGAGGCTTTCACATCATTTTGAGGGGTTTACTATGAACCACAATATATTCTATTCAACACTGTCTCCTCCATGCAGAATTATCAAAGGCCACAGAAGCTGCCTGGTGCCATTGTGAAAAATGGGGTATATTTAATTCAGATGTACCTAAGTACAGGCAGTCCCCAAGTTACAAACAAGGTTCTGTAGGTTTGTTCTTAAGTTGAATTTGTATGTAAGTTAGAACAGGTACATATCACCCCTGTGCTGTTTGTTTTGCTATTTGTGCCCCTGTTCAGAAGATTTAACCTCACTTTCTGTCCCTGTTACAATTGGATTTTGAAAAAAATGACTTCTTGTGGAAACAAGGATTGGTGAGAAAGCTTCAATGGAGACACCTTTTCCCCACGATAACTCTTCTAGAAGTGAACTTCCCTCCTGAAGGGTAGATTTATCTCACTTCCTGATGTCTCATCCCCGTTCTTAACTATGAGTTGTTTATAAATTGGATATTTGTAGCTTGGGGACTGCCTGTATAGATCCTATAATATTTGGCTCCAAATTGCACATCCAGACTCCATATTTGTAGAAGCAACACAGTCAGTTGTGATTGCATTGACTATAACGTTGACTATACAAGTTCAAGCAGCATATTTTCATGTATTTTTAGGTTGAGGCACATGCATTTTCCCATGCACATATCAGCAAAGCATCGACCAAAGATGCAATCTTGAGTGAATTGAAAAGCACCAATAATTTTCAGTGGGTTGAGATATTTGACCAATATAATACAGGTGAATCCTGTGGTCATTTTAGTTCATTGCATTAAAGGTTTGCTATTTAGATACTAGATTTATACACTTTGCACGTTTATCTAACCAGCATTTGTTTCATCTAATTTGCAGCTCTTTTTGAATGTTCTACCTCCTGATAGAAATCAATGGATCAGTAAAACAACAAAATTAAGAACATTTTATAACAAGATAAAAGAAATTGTAAGTTGTTCTATGGTTCCATTTTTTCAATTTTGTCTGATAGGAAAGAAACTAAACTTTAAATCCTTATTCGCACCTACAGCATATTACAAATCCACGGAAAGCTGGACAGCAAGATGTGATGATCAATAATCCACTTTCACAGGATGAAGGGGTAAGGGTAATCTCCTTTATGTTTCTTGAGTATACAACAAAACATTTAATATCTCCTTCTAATGAAGTTGCTTGGATAGAAATTACATATGATAAGCCTAATCAGTCCAATCCCACTGTGTGACAGAAAAATGTGGTTGCAGGAGTCAAAGGTGTACCCAAAGAAACACATAAAGTACAGTATTATCGGGGTAAATATTACATTCCCAACACCTGCAAGGCCAGTATGTGAGTTCTACTTTACCCTTGACTTTTGAAACATAAAATATGCTATTAACATTTTTATAACTTACTGATGCCATAACAATGCACATGTAGCAAGATTACATGTCACAAAATTACATGTTGCAAATAGACAATTACAGTCATAGCTTATTCTGCTTGAACTGTCTATGACCATTTGACATATTTAACACACATACTGGTAAGTTTGACAGAAAAAAGAATAGTTTCATGAATTGCATAATTTTTCAGATCTAACATTCCTTCTAGCTGTGCCATTCACTATATTTAAAGAAAAAAATACACAATTCATATATTTGCATATTATATATGCCAAGTATCTTGTTACAACTGCCCACATATTTTGGGCTACAGTTGCCTTAAGCCTCACCTCACTAGCATTATAGATGTAATCATCCACAACAACCCAATTATGGAGGATACCAGACTGTTTTTCCTTATTTCCACATAGACATAATCTATTAAAGAAAATAGAAGTTCTGTGCTGTCTTTGAAATAAAAGTAAAAAAGCCTGAAATCCTTTTGAGAAAAACAAATTACATTTAAGAATACTAAATATTAGGAGGAAGGGACCAGTGCCTTTAAAAACAATGGCCTCCCATCCTTCAGTGCTCTCATGAAAGAGATTGTGATTGCCAGTGTGGCTGCTGCTTACAAATAGGAACAGAAGGGCATCCGGAAGAAAACCAGAGGCCTCTCGTTGCTTACTTATAAAATTGATGATGGCATTTTTGAGGACAATGATGACCAGGCAGAAAAGAGGCTGAAGAAGAACCAGTTCATGTCATTGCATATTGAGGCAGTCTTACCTCCAGAAGCGGGTTTATCTAACATGAAGAAAACTAGCCGAATGGGGCTCTCTTTGACTGGGTCTCTCTCTATATAGAGAGGTGGAATTCAACACTTTGTTCATACGCGAAGGCTTTTGCAAAGACCAATGGGCCATAATAGCCTGAATGATATTTATAAAGAAGATCATCTTTTTAAATATATTACTAATATTGAAATGTTAGGTTTTGACCTAAGATAGTTGCATGGGGCATATCCTCAGTGTTTTTCAGTAAACAAACCAAACTCCACTTTTCTTAGCTAGTGGGACAATCACGTGATAGGCATCAGTTGTTACTATTTTTTCAGAACTTTGTAACTGTTTTACTTGTTTCTCGAATTTGGCAAGTCTAGATTTCAAGCTACAGAAGCATATCCCTTGTATATACCATAAAGAAGTATTTATTTATTTGGAATGAATTACCTACAAGAATGTTGTTCTGTGAATTCCATGATTGGATGACCCACAAGGTTACAAACCTGCATGCATTTGATACTGATAGACCCCAGAATTTCTTCTTTAAAAATCTCACTCCTTTTTGAAAGCCTAACACAACCCAACAAAAGCATACATGGTGTCTTGGTGTTTAGGCCTGTTCCTGGGATTATTTGGGATACTGATTCAAAAAATTGCATTGGATAGACCACATCGGCTCTGGTTTCTTAGATATCATTATTATTTTCTGTGGGTGAGCAGATGAAGACGGGTATATGGCATATGTTCTGCATCTCAAAAATTAGAGTGGGTAGGGGAAAACTGGCACCATTTTTGGAATTAATAGGTGAAATATACCCAGAAACAGAGCTAACATTTGAGGCAACAAAATGTGTATTGGCGAGTGTAGGAATAAAAGGAAAATAGTGCAAATTCAGTAGGGATTTCACATGAGATTGTACTATTTTCTAAATTTAGAACCAACATTTCAAGCTTATAACATCTCAAACATTTAGAACCATCTTTAATGTTTTAAAGGTGTCACCAGTGGGCCAGCAGGTTAAACCGCTGAGCTGCTGAACTTGCTGACTGAAAGGTTTGAATCTGGGGAGGGACATGAGCTCCCACTGTTAGTCCCAGCTTCTGCCAAACTATCAGTTCGAAAACATGCAAATATAAGTAGATCAATAGGTTACGCTTCTGCAGGAAGGTGACTGCACTCCATGCAATCCCATGACCTTGGAGGCATCTATGGACAACACTGATTCTTCAGCTTAGAAGTGGAGATGAACACCGTCTCTCAGAGTCTGACACGACTAGACTTAATGTCAGGGGAAACCTTTACCTTTACCTAATGTTTTTAAAAGTATGAAATCTTAAAACATAGAAGAATCTTAGAGTTATTGCCATGAAGATGAAAGACTCTGTTTTACCAGTTACCTATGAGACTGCCTTCTCCGGTATACTCCATCCCTGTACACTCTTTTACTCTGAGGGACAATTGCTTCAGTCAGCCAAATCTAGTCTGACAACTGTTATCCAGAGGATATTTTTTTCAACTGTCTCCGGAATGTGGAATAGCATGGTGGAGGAGAGCTATCTTTCTGAATTTAAAACAGCAATAAAGACTAGTCTCCTACAGCAGGTTTACTCAGATCAGTTTTAAATCAACAAATCTTATAGCATATAGTGATTATTTAAAATATGTATAGGTTCTTATAGGGTCTATATACCTTTTTAAGTAATATTATGTGTTTGATTTGTTGCTGTTTCCCATGTCAATTGTGAAGATCCCTTACCTTGCCAGCCAGGGTGGCAGGGCCCAGGAAGAGACAGGCTAGGTAGTTTCAGCTTGGAAGGCCTGGCAGAGAGCTGCTGGAGCCATCTTAGTTTAGGGAAAAGCTCCAGTTCAGAGAGGGGGAGTGGCCGAGGCCTGAGCCAGCCCAGCAACAGCCAGGATTGGTTTGGAAAAGGGGGGCGGAGTTAGTCAGTTGGAGGGAAAGAGAGCAGATTATTTTGACAGTTCAGTTCAGTTCTGAGTGAGGTTAGAGTAGGATTTGGGAGTTTTAGGAGTCTCTGTTAGGAATAGGCAGCTTGCCTGTAGTTTGCACAGCAAAGTAGGCTGTGGCAGACTGGGTTACAGCTATTTTTAGAAAAGAAAATAGCTGGGTTTTGTGTTAGGAATTGTAACAAAGAATAGAACCATTCTCTCAAGTAACCGTTACGCTTCTAAGAACCAAGAACACTTTTATTGTAACAGCCAAGCCTCTGAACCTGCATTCACTTTTATTCTGTAACTTGTATTCAATAAACTCTTTCTTGTTATTTTTAAAATTTAAGCCTGAGTCAAGTGCCATTTTTGGTTGGAGTCCTTTTCCTTGTTGAATCAACCTCTCCTGTTTCCCCTCAAAGAAAGCCCTTGATAATACACAGTATTTGGTGGAGTAAAAAAGCCTTTTAATAATTTAAACAGCCTTTTAGCATTCTAAATAGCTAGAGGGTTCGTGATTCTTCAGTTTATGGTGGCAGCGAAGGTTTTAAATAAAGAGACATCCCCTCAAACGCTATAAGAGCCAAAGTGGTGTGAATTCCTTATTGAAGGAGGGACAGTGTTGGGATCTGTTTGCCCCTGTCCAGTGATATTGTTTGGTCATCAAGAAATTATATCCTTATAATAAGGTGGCAAGGGTGGGATTCTTTGACCCCCCTGCCCAGACGGCCAATTAAGGAGTCCTTATATCAATCCATAGGGAAAGGTGGAGAGGTAGACAACAAGTTGTTGTTATAGTCAATCTGTGAAAGTCTAACAGAGGCTCATGGATGCAATTTCAAAGGATCCTGAGTTGGAATTTCGTGAGAGTCCTATTGTCCATATAAAAGGATTGCCTACATGCAGTTGACACGCAACTCTACTACTCCTTTCCACCTAAAGCCAATGAAGCTTTCCTGATCCAAAACCAGTGCCTGTCGTCAGTAGTGGACTAGATGAGGGCAAACAATTTGAAACTTACTCCAGGCAAGACAGAAGTGCTCCTGGTCAGACAGATGGCAGATCAGGGAATAGGAATCCAGCCTGTGCTGGATGGGGTCACACTCCCCTTGAAGACACAGGTCCGCAGTTTGGAGGTCCTCCTGTACTCGGCTCTGAGCTTGGAGGCCCAGATGTCAAGAGTGGCCAGGATGACCTTTGTATAATTAAAACTTTTGTGCCAACTGCAGCCGTTCCTAGAGAAGTCAGATCTGGCCACAGTGGTGCATATCTTAGTTACATCCCATCTGGATTACTGTAATGTGCTCTACATGGAGCTGCCTCTGAAGAGTACTCAGAAACTTCAGCTAGTCCAAAGAGCTGCAGTCAGGTTGCTCACCCGGTCTGGCTACAGGGAGTGGACAACCCCCGTTTCAGCAGTTCCACTAGCTGCCAGTCTGTTTCCAGGCACAATTCAAAGTGCTGGTTATGGCCTTTAAATCCCTAGACAGTTCAGGTCCAGGCTATTTGGCTGATCACATCCCCTTGTTTAAACCAGCCCAAGCCCAGAGGTCTTCAGGAGAGACCCTCGACTCTGGAACTCACTGCCTGGGGAAGACAGCAAGGCTTCCTTCCTGCTGTCCTTCCAGCAGCAGGCTAAAACCTTTTTATTCAGACAGCCATTTAATGATGTTGTTTAAGTCAGCAGGTGCTGACTTTATATGCTTTTATGGTTTTAACTTGAATTGTTTTTAATATTAATTATGTTTAATACTGTTTTAATATTTGTACATAGTGTTTTAAGTTGTATTGTAATACTTTTAATTGTGAGCTGCTTTGAGTCTCCGTATGGAGAGAGAAGGTGGGATATAAATAATAATAATAATAACAACAACAACAACAACAACAAAATGTAACCCAGCCCATTCCCCCAGTGTCCCAGTGAATTGTTAAGCAGGAGTGTGATTAATCCTTTTATGCTGTTATCTCATCTGCACCAAGCAATAGCAGTCATCACCGTCCAATTCTTTCCTGAATTTCCATCATCTCTAAAACACGATGTAGCCCAGTTCATTCATTGACATTCCCAGTATTAACTCAGGGGTTTTATACAAACCAAATCCAGAGCTTTAGACTTTTACTTCTTACATCTAGTAGATGTAAGAGGGATTTTGTGCTCACTCCACTCAAATTCACCTTTAGGTCCACTATTCAAGAGGCAAGTAAAACAAAAGTTTTGCACTTCATACACCATCTCTAAACTGTCAAAAGGGAGTTGAAGATGCTCTTCTCCAGAAGTGGAGCATGCTGTTTATTCATCACTCTCAGCTGATGATGTCTTGATGAGGAAGGGATCAGAGCTGGGACTTTGTTTCATTCTCTCAGAGAGTTGCCACCTGTTCTTATTCATTTAAAATAAATGTTAGTCATCAGCTCTTTTATTTAAACATTTCGGCAATTTTAAAAAACAGCTGAATATACCATGATTAATTCTTCCAGTGAATATCAAGTGGAATCAATAATGTCGATATATTGCCTGTTGAACTTGTGTCTCATATTATTTTAAACCAATGTTCAGTATTTCAATGGCAATTTTGAACTGTCCAATGACCACATAACCAGAAATGTTTTGAGAAACTTATAGCTTTCCTGTTACTTTCTAGTAAGCTCAGTTATTTTGTTTAAGCTTTGGATGAATACTGATCAGAGCCTTCTGCAAATGTTTGCAGCTGTGGAATTGTAAAAATATCTCAGGAATAGCTGTTGGTTTTAATTTGACAGTATAGCTATAGAATAGCTCTTTCACATTGTGCTGTAGATTAACCATATAGCCAGGTCTGTGGCTGCCGCCGAAGGCAGGCATTCCGAATCATCTCCATTTTGTTTCCCTGATGATGTCTAGGAATACAAAATCTTTGGTAGGACATCATTGCTCTGCAAGTTTTCCCACTTCACAAGGAGTGTGGGTCTGTGTGATGGTGAAGAAGCATTATTTGTTTCTGTTAGCAAATATTATTGGGAAAGTGTTAAGGGAAGCACAGAGTTCCCATTTTTTGTATGCAATTCTGTAAGTTCTGCTTTTGCATTGTTCACAAATGTGCAAATGTTTCAGTAACAATTGCTCTGTAAATGTTAGCTATGATATATCCAAATGTTTCTTTATATTTATGCAAGCTATTAAATTGAGAAAGGCAATGTTGTGACAGAAGGCTCCAAACTCAGGGTCATAAGCTCAGTTTAGCTTTAAGCAATGGATTTTAAAAATTAGAACATCATCGTTTTAATCAGGTCTAATTAGAACCCTCAGAAATATTAGGGTATATGGAAGATCAGAATTAGAGTCAGGAGTAAGAAGAACAGAGATTAGGAAAAGCAACACTATGCTACCATATTTATATAATTAGAACCTGTCAGCTGTTCCTCCCATTTGGTATTTATTTTCCAGTATCACCTGCATATAAAGGAGATTAATGCCCCCATACAATAGCCTTCAGTAAAGTATTTATTCCACAAATGTTTGTTTGGAAAGTATAGTGAAATTTCACTCCAATAAAAGGTAATTGTAAAGTTAATGCCTGCGATTTTGATTTCACTGAGACCTTAAATACATAAAATACTTTCTGGATTGCAACAAGTTTTGTGATTGATTTGTTTTGTGTGCAGTTTGATCAGAAAGTCTGATCCTTACAGGTGTTGCTTACTTAACAAATGACAAGTTTAAAATTTGTATGCCTATCAGTATGTAACCTATCAGTATTCCTCTGTTTCATGTGATTTCCTGCTTTTTTCAGAGCCTTTGGAACAAATTTTTTCAGGACAAAGAACTTCGAGGAATGATTGAGCAAGATGTGACAAGAACGTGAGTTAAACATTTTAGAAAATTCAGCTGCAAGATAGTCATCTTTTGACCACATTCAATCCACCAGATCTGTATGTTATTTCCCCAGGGAAATAACTCCCAGGGAAATAATTCCCAGAAAAGAAATACATTTGTGGCCCAAATACAGCTGCAGAGCCAGACATTTGTTTATCTCTTCTTGGCATTTCAACCCAATCTTTAATGGTGTCAGGCCTTAAAAATGATTTCATTGTTCCCTTGTTAGCATATGGCATAAAGGATGCCCAACAAGATTTAGATGTGATTAAAGGACAGAATTCAAATAATCTCAATCTGTAAGAAATATTTTAAATTTGTCTCTTAAACTATTTAGACAGGTTTATTGTAAATTAATATTATGAGATGATGCGTTCATTTTTAGTGAGAACACGGCGGACAGTATGAGAGGAACTGACAGATATTTTGACAAAATTATGTTTATAATATAAGATTGAACAGATGATTTTCTGTAATTTTTAACACTTAATCAATAAACAGTGATTTATAATTAGTGAGAAATGTCATTCATCTAGAGGAATTTAGCATGTGTATTGCTTTGCCTACTGTCAGAGATGTCTTTTAAAATGTCCTTATTACCATTGTGAGTTTGGTTTCATTTCTTTAGCACTTGGGTCATATCTGTTAAGAAACTTATCAGTGTCAGAACTCAGTTCCAGAAATATTTTGTCAGACTTAGAAATCTGATTGCACTGATTGTAACTCCAATTAAACTCAATTACTTGTTGTGTGGCATTCTGACTCCATCATACTCCTACAGTGAGTTTAGAGCGAGTAAATACATCATGTGGATTTCAAAATGTATAGTTTGCTTTGATACCTTTTGCCATTTATATAAAATTGATAGAAGGGGAAACAATAGACAGGAAAAAATGTATTTTATTCTCTGTGCACTAGATGTATTTTAAAATGCCTTTCTACTCTTCATTCTATAATTAAAATTTGAATATGCCTTCATGCAAATTTTCACAGATGGTATTTTTTGTTTTTAAATGGGTATGATTCCAAATATTTAAGATTATATAAATATCCAAGTTTTAATTGGGAAATTAAAGTTTGAATAGTGATAAATCTACTAGTTATAGAAGCATTGTAAAAAAATTAAACTTTCAAAGAGATTATATTCCCATACTTTTTAACTAGTCCTGCTAAATGGAAAATTCAAATATCTAGGTATTTTAAATGATTTTGTTCTACCAGTTGTTCAAGCTACTCTTTGAATTTGTAGCTACAACTCTGAATTTTCATATACAGTCAGTCCCCAAGTTACAAACATCCAACTTAAACATGACTCATAGTTAAGAACAGGAAGTGAGAGAAATCTAACCTTCAGAATGGAAATTTCCTCCTGAAAGAGTTACCATGGAAAAAAGATGTTTCCCCTGAAGCTTCCTCACCAATCCTTGTTTCCACACCAAGCTTTTTTTTTCAAAATCCAATTATCATAGGGACAGAAAGTTCAGTGAAATCTTCTGAACAGGAGCACCGATAGCAAAACAAATATTAGGGATAATGGATGGATCATAATCTATTAGGATTGCAACCCATCAGGGGTAGCAGAGTTTGAGAGGAACATTTCTTGAGTTTATTTGATGCTTTAGGCAGGCAAAGATTCAGGCAGACTTGTTTTAGAATAACAACGTTTGTTTACTCATAACTTATAATCTTTAACGATACAGGCACATTTCCTTTGAGGGTTAACAACTACTAAAACGCTTGGAGAATAGGGATTTTAAAACTTACAAACTTTGACTGTTTCTTCATGAACTATGCTTCTCCACACAGCTCTCCTCATTCAGAGTTCACTTTAAAAGAAAATACAAGCATCAACAATTTACTAGCTTTTTACATTAGCTTCTGTACACTAAAAGACTTCTAGCTCCAATGTTCTAAACCGTCAGTCACATGATTGCAGCCCCTCCCACTGCTTTAGTACAAAGAAGCAAGGTAACTGCAAACTACAAGACATACACTTTAGGTTACAAAAGGACCTACTAATAAAGTAGACAAACATCACATAGAGGAGGCTTCAGAGGTTACACCCTCCAACAACAAACACCACAAGGGTGTTAATTTATTTATTTACAACATTTATATCCCGCCCTTCTCACCCCGAAGGGGACTCAGGGCAGCTTACAACAGAGAGGGCGGCTTACTATATATACTGTATATTCCGGCATATAAGACTGGGCGTATAAGACGACCCCCAACTTTTCCAGTTAAAATATAGAGTTTGGGATATATTTGCCGTATAAGACTACCCCTCTTCCAACGCAAACCAAATAAAAAAATTAAAAAGCATCAGATTTGATTTCAATATGGTAATTTTCCTATTACTGTACCTCCTTCTCTGCTTCTCAGATCTCGCACATGCACACCTGCACCACTTCACTGCAATCTTCAGGAGTGAGATCTGAGAGGCAGTGGAGGAGGTATGGTAATAGGATACAAGGGCGGGCCAGACAGGTAAGAGTTGTGTTTTTCTGGGCCCAGAGCCACTCTATCTCTTTTTTCCATACCTCGGGCGCCCCGGATGCCTGCAGCTTGCTTCGCCCTTCACTTACACCTTCCCGGTGAGGTGCCCCTTCACCTCACCATCGGGACCGCGTTAAGTCCATGAATCCTGATGAATGGATTTTCTTCTACCGTACTTGTACAGCGACACCCTTAATGCTTTCATACAGTTGCTACATACGGCAGGGACGCGGCCATTGCCATTTTTGAGCTCTCCCCCCCCCCCACCATATGTGGCAACCACAGATTCTCCACCCGCTCTATAAGACTACTCCCATATATAAGACTACTCCCACATATAAGACTACGCCCGCGTATAAGACTACTCCCATGTATAAGACTATTCCCGGGTATAAGACGACCCCGCGTATAAGATGACCCCTGGCTTTTGAGAAGATTTTCTTGGGTTTAAAAGTAGTATTATACACCAGAATATACGGTATATCTATATCTTTATCTATATGCTTACTATCCAAAGTGCAGAGAGCGAGAGAGAGTAGATAGGCTAGAGTTACAGTTTAGAATGTACCTGTTCCAACTTACAAAAAGATTCAGCTTAACAAAAAACCTACAGAATCTCTTGTTCATAACTAGGAGACTCCCTATAAATATGAACAAGATTCTTCTGTCATTCTATGTAATATTGAAATCTTAGTGCTCAGACTTAACTGGCCAAAACAGACAAGGGAAAGATGAGCCAGTTGTAAGTCAACTGACGTTGTGATGATCCAAAAGCCCACTCAGCCTTGAATTTTGAAAGTCACTTAACTCTCCTTCTACTGTGTCCTAGGTTTATGTCAGCACTGTGATTGTATTCCTGCCTTCAAGGAAGTTTGGATATCTCACATCATTAGATGGCCCCCTTTTAGTAGTAGTTATTGTTATCTATGTCATCATTGCTGTCATTGTCCTCGTTCTTTTTATTCCTTTGCCAGAAGTTTTTAGAAAGCTATACAGTTTTCCTAAAATATTTATTTCTCATTGGGAGATTGCTGAGATCAGCCAACAGAAAGACATTTCTGCCAGCATAAATGGTTTTTATATAATGCTAACTCATCCCACATTAGGGTATGTTTGAGTTAAGATTGCAGGATTAAACGATTTTTGGGAGATGCCAGAGACCAACCTTCATAATCTTATCTTTATAAAATGTAATTTTCTTAATTTTTCAGATTTCCAGAAATGCAGTATTTCCAAGAAGAAAATGTGAGAAAGATTCTTACAGATGTTCTCTTCTGTTATGCCCGGGAAAATGAGCAATTGCTTTATAAACAGGTAATGAAAATTTTACAGGTGGTATCTGTTGTCTCTATATTTCTTTACAATTGATTGAACAATAACATTGTGTATTATACTGTAAGTTGTGGAAGTTTTGTGCTGAGACGCAGGCAGTCCAATAATTGCTTGTTAAAGAAAAATATCCATTTAGGCCATATTCTTCCCACAGACATGTGACATTGGTTTTGGATTTTCCCCTCAGTATTGTAAATTTTCCCATTTTTTTAGAAATAATTTTATTCAATCTTCTTATTCTTAAACCGCCATTATATAGAGACAAAATAAATCAAGTCTAAATTAACTGAACATAGGTCCCAGCAAAATCAGTGTGACAAATTAATAATAATTTAGGTCCCAGTGTCCACATTCTTATGGTGTATTTCATGTTCTAACTTCTAGCCTTTTTTCTTCTCTTCACACATTAAAAAACATCTGCTCCAGGGATTTTTTTCAGCATGTCTAACCACATTCAAGAGACTGTAGATGGAACTCTATGTTCAAACCTCCAAAAAGGTTTACTGTTCAAGTGGAAATGTGTGGTCTTTCAAAGATTGGAATGCCAGCAGTACAGTTTTAAAGAGAAGCAACTATACTTTGTTTCTAAAAATGTATTGGCAGTTAACACCATTTTAAAAAACAAAAGGTGATATATATTTTCATAAGATAGCTTATCTATTGTTATTTTTAAATTGAAACAGTGTGATGTAGTGGTTTGAGCATTGGACTCTGGAGACCACTGTTCCACTCAGCCAAGGAAACCCTTTGGGTGACCTTGGGCAAGTCACACTCAGAGGAAGGCAAAAACAACCCCCCCAACAAATATCCCCCCTCCCCAAAAAAGCAACCCTGTTTTAAGGTCACCATAAGTTGGAAATAACTCAGTCTTCAGAAAAAAAAGCTTATATGAAATATGTTGTAGCACTCTAAGCTGAAGGTTACAGTATGAATAACTATAGCCAAACTATCACTCTATACGTGAACCCTTTCAGCAACAAAGATACGATCATGGTCACTAATCTTCAAATATATACTTTTATTGCTCTTCTGACATCCAGCGAATTGCACTTTTTCATGTGGATGTCTGGAATTGGGGTAGAAGAAAGGAATTTTTCGTGACTTGTCCTCATCAGTATTGATTTGGGAATAAAAGAAGGCTCTATGACCCAAGATAACTCCTCATCATCAAACCTACAAAAATAGGGTTTATGGATAAAGAAGCCAGTTAAGAAACCTTTTGAGTCAACATAATGGCCACCTTGAACAAAAGACATCATAGGGAGGCCTCCTTCCAAGGCTCAAGTAGAAACCCAATTAAAATAGTTTAACATTTTGGTTCCATATGGAAAACATGTGAACTGTCTATAGAGCTTGTAGAGCTGCTCCTTGGATAAACCTTTTAACATGTGGATAAGTGATAGTATTTTCTCAGCAAACGATAATATTTAAAATTGTTCTGAAACCTGGTTTTTTTAGAGTGTTAGACCTTAATCTCAGAGGACAATCAGAGTCGTCTGTCATTGAACAGGAGTCTGTCTGTCAGAGTTGAACAGAATCCTTGCTAATACAAAAAGGATAACAAGCATTTTGTCCCGGATTTGGTGGAAGAGACAAAATAAAAGTAGTTTCAGCCTTGTGAGCAAAGCTGTTGGCTGATTAAACTGTGTGTAAACTTGCCTATTTGTTTTGGGTCATATGCATTATCTGAGCACATAGTCTCAGGAGCCACGGATTATTCTTATTCAGTCTCTGAAGCAGAGTGAACAAGGGTCTCATGAAACAGGACAAAAAAAGCAAATACTTCATGTGAACACTTCATGTGAGAACATCAACATGTACATTGATGAAGCCTACTCATATATAGGACAACCACGCATGGATGGTGAAGAAGCTGCTACAGTAACTTGAAACATCTGTACTGTTTGTGTTCTTAATGAAGATATAAGGAAATATTCTTGCAGCAAGTGCAAATTCATTACACTTCTGGAAGATAATGTCTGGAAGATGAAGTGCCCTGCCCGCCATCTTCCGCAAGGCTCCTACCCATCTTCTGCAGGTCTCCTACTCCCCAGGGAGCCCTGTGTCATGCTTGCCGCTCACCTTCTCATTCAGCCAGTCAGGGGCAGGCATTACGCTGTGCCCTGATTGGCTGAAGCAAACGGACCAGAAAGAAAACTGGTCCACCTGCAAAGTATTTAAGGTGGTGCTCTGCTTTGAGTTCACTTCCTCGGAGGTCACTTTTTGTGGCGATTGGCATGGGACCTGGATCTGGTACAGGAATTTTTCCCCTCCCCATGAATGGTATGCTGTATGCCTCTGGGGGAGCACGATGGAGCTGGTGACATGGAGCAGCATGGATAGGAGCCAGCACTGCGCCCCTTATCCATTTCTGTGTTTATTGGTTCAACAGCAGGCTGTGTGTTACCTTGATACAGTACCCACAAATTGCTGCCAATCCTTTTTTTTCCAGTTGCAATCAATTAACAATTTGTGGCCTTTGGTTATTTTAACACTGTGTGAGACTGGGGCTGGGGCTGGGGCTGAGGATAGTTCCCCTGCGTACACAGTGTCTTTTCTGGACAGAGCATCACATACTCCTGAGTAACAACGACCTGAGAATTCCTCTATGAAAGAAGATACACAAGGAACAGACTTTGAAAACAGTGGCCTGGGAGGTGAATTCTACAACGACCTATGCCATGACTATGTGGTTGATTCTAGGTTTTCCCCTTAATCAGGAGTGGTAAAGCACAGGAATGGATAGCAATCACACTCTTCAGAGAACTTGTGAGTGGTCTTGGAGTGATCAGTGGATCGAACTTGATTCAATAATGTAATGTGACCAGGAGCACAGTGCCCAAAGCGAGAGGAGTAATAGACCCTCTCAATTCAGCTTTTGTTAGACCTCACTTGTAATACTGCATCCATTTCTGCACACCACAATTCAAGAAGGATATCGGCAAGTTAGAACATTTCAAGGGAAAGACAATCAAGGTGATAAAATATCTGTAAATAAAGTCATGTGGAGAACGGTTCAATAAGCAGTGTATCTTTAACTTGGAGAAGAGAAGATTGAGAGATGATATGATAGCTATCTTTAAATGCAGTCTCTGAAATTATGTCATGTAGAGGGGAGAGGGTTTGTTGTTGTTGTTTTGCTGGTTTATGGCTACAACATGAACCAGTGAATTCAAACAGCAAGTAAAGAGATTCCACCTTATGATTAGTTCTCTGAGAGTGAAATAGACCAGGGCTTCTTAAACGTTTTCCACTCGTGGGCCCTTTCTGTCCAATTTTTTACGTGTCCCGAGGTATATAAAATTGGTATAAAATCAAACATTTACTGATGATAAATCAGCATTTACATGGCTTGCTAAACAAACTAATTTTGCCTGTTTATGAAGTACAGCAGAAGCATTTTGAGTAGAATCCAATGTAAACACTACACATTGTTGCTAACAAATTTGTGTAATGTCTAAAACAACCATAGGTGATGTTCAGAAACCTTTTACTGTTGCTAATTTTTTGCAAACCTGACATTGAGCTAAGGGGACCCCATATAGGACTCTTCGTTTAAGAAGTAGTGAAATAGACTAGAGAGTGGAACATGCTCCTTCATTGAGAGTCTTTAAACAAGTTGAAATGCCATCTCTTAAAAGTGTTTTAGCTTTATATTCTTTCATAGTATAGGTTTGGAGAACATGATTCTTGAGTACCCGTCTATGATTCTTCAATGATACCTCACTGCAAATCTCAGAGCAACTCTACAGTTTCACATAGGTGTTGAATAGCATGAAATGGCGGAGCTGTTTTGAGTGGTCAGAGGGCTGTTAAACCTCGCTTCACAAGACTGGACCCCTGAAACCCGTCAGCCCAGTGAAAAGCATTTGCTCATTTCTTTGCAGACAAAGTTGCTCTGATCTGTTCCAACTTGGACAAGATGTTAATGGCAGTCTCTGAGGATGTAACATGAGCACCTGCTTTTCAGATTTTGATGGATTCATTTCAATTAGTGCAGCTTGAGGATGTGGACAAGGTCCTTGGAGAGGCAAGGCCAACCACATGCATCCTAGACCCCCTGCCCTTCCTGGCTGATAAAGGAGGCCAGAGGGGGTTTGGCAGAGTGGGTAAAGGTGGTGGCTAATGCCTCCTTAGAAGAAGGCAAAATTCCAGCGAGCTTAAAATAAGCTGTTATAAAACCGCTGTTGAAGAAACCTTCACTGGACCCACTCCAGTCAACCTTCAGCCAGTTTCCAGTCTCCCCTATTAGAACAAAGTTATGGAATATGTGGTGGCCTCACAGTTCCAGGTGTTTTTGGAAGACACTGATTATCTAGATTCAGCACAGTCTGGCTTTAGGCTGGAACATGGAACTGAAATAGCCTTGGTCACCCTAGTAGATAATCTACACTGGGAACTAGACAGGGTTCCCAGTGTCCCTGTTGGTTCTGCTGGACCTCTCATCGGCTTTCAATACCAAAGACCTTGGTATCCTTCTGGGACACCTTGCAGGAATGTGCCTTGGAGGTACTGCTCTGCAGTGGCTCTAATCCTTCCTGGGGGACCGATCCCAGAATGTGTTGTCGAGGGACACCTACTTGGCCCCCCTCAGCCATTGTCTTATAGGGTTTTGCAGGGCTCAGTACTGTCTCCCATGTTGTTAACATCTACATGAAGCAATTGTGGGAGATCAGAGTTTTGGAGTTATAATAATAATAATAATCTTTATTTATACCCCGCCACCATCTCCCCCAACGGGGACTTGAAGCGGCTTACATGGGGGCAAGCCCGAACAACAAATTACAATGCAAAAATACAAATTGCAGTAAAATAAACAACATAACACTAAGGTATAAAACATCGAAGCATATAAACAATATACACAAAACATAGAAACTGAAACATAATGACAGAGAGTGGGCCGCATGTACATAAAATGATTTAAAAACTCAGGGTGAGATAAAGGGGCAGAACTATTTGTAAGGGAGAACTCATAGAGA